GTACTTCATAGATCTGCCTGTTCTGCTCCCCACTCTGTCTCTGGTGAAGCCTCTCACCACCCCTGAGCCTCTGGCCTGTACCCCAGTTCTGTATGTGCAAATAAATTTTTAAAATATATAAAAATTAAAATATTGTTTTGAAGTCTTCATATGGTAGGTCCTCCATTTCTTTATTCCTTATATTTTTCTCAGAACTGTGGTTCTTATCATTTTTCCTTTCCATCTTGCGTCCAGATGTTCCTTGCTTCCTATGCATGATTATTGCCTTTTTGCTTCTGTGCATATGTGTGGTTGGTTTAGTCTTAGAGGCTTACTTTTATCTGTTTACCTTAGTCAGGCAGGGCAGGAGGGGAGACTGGGGCTTCAGTATTAAATCTCGATTTGAGGAGTGAAGTTGCTCAACTCTTCCTCCTCTCCTTTCTCCCCACAGGAAGCTGTGTTCAGCCTTTTAGTTGTCCTAACTTTCTACCACACCTGCTGCTCCTTTCTATTGTGGGTCTGTGATCTGTGAAGCTTCTAAGTGTGAGAGCAAGTTCGGGATCACAAGACTCATTGTACCAGACAAAAGTGGCCTGGGAAGGCACACAGCTTGGAACTCTCATGTGGTGTGTGCTGCTTTGTCTGGCTAAGGCTGCCAACAATGACAGTACCCACCACTGCTATGCCACACCTGTGGAGCTGCAAAATCCATATGCAATTTGTCATTTTCCCAAGGGATTCGTGAGGTAGCTCACAAGTCCTTTTCTCTGCAGTGAAGCCCAACCTGGTGTCTCATTGCTCTCTTCTGGCCGGCACACAGAGTAGAATATTCCATTTCTGCACTAGTAGAAGGGTTTCCAATGCCCCAGTTCAGGTCTGTACCCACAGAGTTCCCACTGCCCTGTGTTTGAACCTGTGCCCACATGTGAGCAAAAGTCCTCCAGGGCATTTCACAGTGCCCCAGGCTGTCCTGACATGACTCAGGTAACTCCAGCCCATTCTGCTGCCTGGGATATCTACCCTTCCAATCATGCTCCCCTTTCCTTCCTCCCACTCCTTCATCCACAATCACCAATCTTAGTTTTATTTCTCTATGGGAAAATCCTGGGACTTGATCAGAACTTCTGGGTCTTTCTTTGAGCTAATATTATTGTATTAATTAATTTTAAGGAAGAAGGGAAGCCCAGTTCTCTAATCCTTCATGTTGTCTATTCGCTTGTATTTTTAAGATGTAAAATATACTCACAGAGTTACCAACAAGCCACTCTTTTCCCCCTAAATATGTGTCCAAATCTCGCAGAAGATGAGGTGCATCAGATGTAAACAGCTCATTAAATATCTTGTCCTATGAGAGGGAGAAAAAGATCACTAAGAAAAAGGAAGAAAAATAAATAGTATGATTTATTTTTATAGTATGAAATAGTATGAAAAGGAATTAGATTCTTCCATTTTTGCTTTTCCACATGAATTCAGAAAGCACCAGAATGTTCTACATGTTTGTTAATTTGTTTCAGCTTCGTGATACTCCGGTGATCCAGGACTGACTCTATGAGTCTTACTCTTTCCTTTATTACTCATGGATTAAAAAATAAATACTTTGGTCACTAATTTGAAATGATGCATGCATGCTTATATTTATTCAGCACTATTTACAACTGTGAAGTTACATTCCCACAAGGGGAGGGCAACTGGGGTCTTCATTGGGAACAACTATCCTTTCTCTCCCCTCACTCTCTTTGCACACTAACTCTATTAACGTTGTCTTCTGTCGACATTTTATACACTGAGTATGTTTTGTCTATGTGGCAGAATGCATTTAGCGATTGCAGGATTAGGAGTCTTGAGGTGCCCCTCAATCTGCTTGCTAATATCACCATAGTGATGCCATTTTGGAGAGGAATTAGCTTCAGAGAATGGGGTTGATAAGGACTGAGACCAAGAGGACTGGCAGAACCAGAAAGGCTGGCATACAGGACAGTTGATTTTAAACACTATAGAAATAAAAAGAACAAAATAGCTCCCAGAGAAATACAAGTGTTTTGCTGAAATGTTGCTGAGCTAGTCACCACCTAGAGTAAGATTTACCAGACACATAAGGAACAAAAAAAAACCACCACGGAACTTCCTGGCCACCTAGTCCCTAACCAATAGTGTGGCACAGTGAGAAACAGGAAGTCTGACAGTCTATTGTCATAGATGGGCTGGTAAGTCAGGTATTCTCTCTTGGGCCCCCTCCTGCTGTCAGAAGCTCTTTCCTTTGCCTCAATAAATCCTCACTTGCTTGCTCTCGTGTTCAGTGTGGTGGCTGTATTTCCTCAACTGGCATACACACCTGGGCACACGAGCAGCCTTCTCCTAACAGGGTCCTTGGGTTACTGGAGGTTCTCTTTCAGCGGCATACAGCATGTTCACCCAGGAGACAGACATTTGCACAGACATATTTAAAATTAAACCTGTTCAATTTTAAAATTATCTTTTAGGTTTAAAATTATCTTTTAAAAGGACAGGTTTTTTAGGAAAAAGAAAAAGAGAGGCACCTGCGTAGTCACAGGTGGGTAAGAGACTTAATGCTGCTACTTTGCAAAGGAAAAGGTTTGGGGGAGGTAAAGGGGGGTCGGTGTGGGTGATGGGGAAGGAGGCTAGAAACACCCGCATAGTCACAGGTGGTCAGCAGAAACTAACTGATACAAGGTTCTTCCGTGCGGAGGGGTTCACTTCTTTGTGGAATTGTTATCTACTGTTAATTACTTCTAGGATGTCACCAGGTTGATTTGTAAGGACTGGTAATTCTCTATAATGGCCCTCAATATCCAGATGGGCCTCTGGTCTGGTCCTCTGGACATGCCGAACAGCAGGCTGACACTTGCTACAGCTGTTGGTACCTACGGATCTTTCATTTCTATCGCTGGTTTAATCACTTCTACTGCTAACTTCAGTGCCTGATCTTGTGAGCCTTCATTCTAAATTTTCTATTCTTAGTCTCCATCAATTGTACTTAATATAACTAATCCTGTTGAATCATTCTGTTCTAGGGCCATCTTGTGTTTTCTCTGAATTGACCAGAGGTTTTTCTGCCTTGGCTATTTTTATAAACCCACCATCTAGTTGTTCCCTTTTCCTATAATGTTAGGTGATATCGCTAACTTAGTAAATAAAAACTAACAGATCTATTTTTTCAATTGTTTCTGTGTTTTTACTTGAATTTCTAAATATGTTCTTCATGAACTCTTGGTTAGAAGTTTTTTGCTTCTATATGAAAAAATTGGGTGGTTTCTATCTTTTATGTGAAATATAAGCCAAATTCAAAAATTAAATGTGTAATTTATAATATTAGTACTTATAAAATAAATGAGCGATAATAAAATGCAACCTTTATTAAGGTTACGTCAGATGGTGGATAACTACCTCATCAATTTGCTGATTTTTTCTACCTGTTATTATATTTACTGAGTAAGGTAATATAGATTACAATACATTAATGCCTTATATTTATGGAGTAGAGTTTCAAAAGCTTCATGCAGATTTATATTTATATGTGTGTGTGTGTGTGTATGTATATATATGTATATGTATATAGATTTAAACATAGAAGTTATTTTATTTATTTTTTTCTTTTTTTATAATATAGTAGTTTATTTTTACATCATTTTTTAAAGATTTATTTATTTATTCATACAGAACTGGGGTACAGGCCAGAGATGTGGAGGGTGA